GGAAATTTTAGATAAGGGTAGTGTTATGTTTTATGGTTATATGAGAAACATTGGATGAATTAGTTGTTGTTGTAAGGGATGTAACAGGTATGGAGTAGGATATCACTCGACTGCTTAGAAGGATGGGTTACTTCCTTAGATGTTGTTGTGCTAATGGGACAGGTTGTTCAGTTCATTTGATCAGCTAATTGATACCTGAGTATAGTGGATGACTCTCGAGAATGATTCTAATGGATTCAAGCTTTATATGTAACAAGTGGGGATCTTAAGGATGTGTAATGGGCTAGAAGCTAAGGTTTACATTGGATTTTGTCAAGACTTATGGCATTTCTATTTCATTATGGAGTCTATATATAAGTATCAAGGTTAAGGTAATGGCTTTAGATTCGCAGGAAGCCTCTTTAGGGTAAGTATTTTGAATATGGTAATTTCGAGGATATTTAAGAGAGTATTCGGTAGTTTATGAGCCTTAGATGGTAGGTTTTTATGCTTGGGTCCAGCAGGGTGAGTTTGGATTGAGGACGGTGGAGTTATGGCAAGGAGAAGTATCAATTCAAAGGTAATTCAGAAGGAACTTGGATGAATAGGATAGCTTAGTAGTAGGTCGGATCAGCATGGTGAGGGATATGATTAGTTCTTTGGGTTCTTAGGAGGTAATGAGTATCTACAGGTGTTTCGTGGCAATGATCTTGGGTTTTTGGTGACCTACGTAGCTTGGTTGAGTTAGAATGATTTAGTCCTGACGTTTGGTTTTGTGCAAAAGGGATTCAGAGAGTTCTTGATGATTTCTACTATGGTTGGAAATGCATATTTTCTACTGGCGTGAGGAGCATGTGATGTATAGTGATTTTTCTCCTAGATGAGATCAAATGGGAAGTTCTTGGCTAGTTGAGTACTTAGTTTCTTGTGTCTCGGAGTGGATTATGAAGTTCTCATATTTAAGTCCTATATTAGTTATAGTTTGCATATGGTTCATGTAATATTGGAGCATGAAGGTAAAGCACATAATCTAATACATGAGTATTAGATACATGGTAATAAAACACGATTAAACAACAAAGGCAGTAAGCAAAAATAATGAAGCAGTAAACTAGGCTATGAAAATAATGAGCAGTAACGAAAGGAGTAAGGGAGAGAGGACTGGACTCTGATGGTTGGGCCTCAATAAAGTAGACCCAGCAATTGAGAGGCGCGGCTATAGCTGAGTGGATTGTTCAAAAAAATGCAGCAAAGCTGGTTTGGGCCTGAATTCCTTAAGAACTCAGCAGGCCCAAATGAATACATGCACAAAAAAGAAAGAAGGTCATTAGAAGTATATCAAATATTCAAAACATATATGACATGTACATAAATAGACCATTGGAACAAGTGGTTAATAAATACTATGGGAAATTATATTAATGTTGTGGTTCTGCTTAGCACATAATTCACATTGAAAACCTTTCATTGTCATTAAACATTAAACCCCCAAAGAACTAAATGTGTCAATGAATTAAGGGCTAAGAAGGAAGTTCTACTCAAGGTCGATGCTCCCTTTGAATCCCCTGACACTTCATCCCAAGGGACTTAAGGCCTAGAGCAATGCTTGTGTCGGGGAGGGCAACCCAACCACGAGTCAAACTCCACTCCCAAATACCCTTAAACACTAACAACATGTTTTCCTTACAGGTTTAAATGCCAATGAGGTCCTTTTAATGTAAACTAGGTGTTATAGCATTACCTACCATAAAATATATACTTTCCCTCCTAACATAAGAACATATAGTCTACATTGGATACCAAACAAACATATATCACATGAATTTTAAAGATCTGACTTTGAAACACATAAAGGTGACAAACAGAAGCATCAGAAGCATACTACAAAAGTTTGAATTTTAGAACAAAACAATATTCCAAGGAAAGGCAAAGCTATATAGCAACAACTCAACAAATACAGAGGTTCTTCTTTCTAGCAAACTTAGTGTGAACGGGTTGGTTTGCTTTTAGCACAGACCTAGGTTGATACTACTATTTTAACACCTTTAAAATAAATCAGCAATGAAAATTCAGGTAACACAGTCATGACTAATCATTTATAGAGTTTATCAAAGATATCCATGACAAGATCAACTTTCTCAATAGGTCCACATATTTATAGATTAAAACATGGAATCCCTAAGAAGTTATATAGAGTCATACTCCTAATGATATTAGCTTCAAGCAAAGCATCATGTTGAGATAGCATCAGCAAAGATCCTTAAAAGATTTTAGGGGCCGGATTTGGTTTTAAAATAAACAGTAGAGAAAGGACTAGAGTGGTTCTGGACATAGATTAAAGACAACCTTAAAGGCTTGGAGACAGGAGGTATGATACCAAGTAAGTTTTAGATTGAGCATGCAGCTGAAAGTGTTGACTAATCAAGAAAACAACCAAGTTTACCCTAACAAGTTATCAGTCTTTTATAACAAAGATAAGAAACAGGATCATGATTGTGTATTGAGGAAAGATAACTTAGTTTTTAACAAATGTGTACAACAGAATTACTGGGAGAAGAAAAGAAAGTTTAATTCAAACATGATTAGGTCAACAAAAGCAATAGAAACTAGACAAAATAATAGACCATAGTGGCAACTCCGAAAGAGTTTAACAAACATAAGTAGAGAAGAAAACATTAAAACACTCAGAGTTAAGCTTAAGGTTAAAGGACAGAGGATATAAACTAAAACACCTTCAGATTCATCTCAGTCATGGTTATCAAATAATAAGCTCAACTTCAAGACTCACAAACTACAGAGATGCACTGTAGATCAATGAATAGTTATGAAGTTCAGATGAACGTGAACACATAATAACTAAAACATGTAGACTGTCGTGAACTTAGGAACAAAGATCAGTAGGAATCAATTAGTAGTTTAATCAAAGGAGATGAACAAAAGAGAAGGATGAGAGATGTGTTGACCTTTTTGAGAGCAGCAAACCAAATGAAGGCTCTTTCTTAATTGCTTAAGACCCCAAGAACCTCAAGTTTGAACCAGCGACAATACTCAGCAAACGGAAAAAAAAAAGTACAGTAAGAAAACCTAGGCTTTGAACCCTAAATTTCTTAGATGATTGATAGCGTTTGTGTTTGCATTTATTTCTCCTCAGTGTTAGGTAGTAAGTAGTGTCAGGTAAGAGCATTGAAGGCTCCTATTTATAGTGCCATTTAAGGCTCTAACGTTTCAAAGGATTCAAATCAGATAGTGGAAGATGACAATAGTCGAGTGATGATAGAAAAGGCAGAGATAAAATTAGAGAACATAGAGGGAAAAATAGTGGAGCTTACCTGAGAGGAGAGAAGTCAACTGTTGAGGGCAAAATCCATGGGGAAAGAGCCCTAATGTCCAGAGGTCACTTCGGTTGACCTCTTGACCAAGAATAATCATGATAACCCCGAGAAACATTCATGCATACCATAGATTTAAAAAAACAGAGGAGGGTTTCAGAGATTTGAACTTTGCACGATTTGGTCTAGGGTTTATGAATTTGGGATTTTGAATCTCTATCAACGAGAATGGAAAGAAAACAACTTTTGCCATAGCCTAGAGAGAAAATGGTTGATTTTCTAAGTTTGATTTGAAAGAAACGACGGAATGGTATTTTAATTTCAAAGACCCAGGTTCTGGCATTTTAGATTTGGCAAACAAAAGGGAAAGGTCAGCAGGATTTGTGGGTAATGAATCAGGAAAGGACGATTTCCTAAGGGTTTCCTGACCTTGCACAGATTTATGCAAGGTTTTTTTGATTGATTATTCATGGTGGTCAGAGAGAACGAAGAGGAAAGAGGAAAACGGAGGTGGCTATGAGATATACAAATGAATTAGGGTTTGAGATATTAGACCGGTTGGTCTCTAGGTTAAAAAGGTAGGGAAAGATCTGGGCTGTTAATGTTTTAGATCAACGGTCCTAATATTTTTTGATTAAAACATTTTAAATGAAGGAATATGAGGATCGTTAGATCTCTGGGTTTGGACGGCATCTTTTACCAGTGTAGACGACTCCCAGTGATAAGTAAATCATCCACCTAGATTAGGATAGTCACCATTTCAGCCTGTTGCTTCTTAGTAAGAAAGGAATGATCAAAGGAACTTTATTGATATCCACTATTAATTAATTATTCAGTTAGCTTTATATTCAATTGTCTTGAGGCTTGTTTAAGCCTTAAAGGCATTACAGAAGTCTACACAGTTTTTTCTCCCCTTATTTATGAAACCCCTAGAGTAAACTCATGTATACTTCTTCATACAAATCACCTCATGTATACCCACTAAGGTAACAAAGTAGTGTTTTCTATCATAGGTAAAAATCCTATGAGGAACCCACACATCCATATGAATAAGCTTAAAAACACTATTAATTCTACTACAAGTAGAAGGAGACTTCAGTCTAATTTGCTTAACTAAAGAAAATACTTCATCATCATGTTGTACTCTGATATCTACTTTATTCTTTAGGGAGGAAATATGATTCATTGCATTTATTGATGGATGCCCAAGTCTCATCTACCACAAAAATTGAATCTTTTGTATCTCTAGTAATAGCCCCCGCTATCGGTGTTCCTCTCATATGTATTATGTATCTCTTACCAACCCTATCACCTACCATTGTAAAAACCCTATAGTACATAGAATTCAGGGAAGAAAAGTGCACAAAAATGTACTTCCTTGGTCAATTTGGAGACACAAAATTAGTAGAAATTTAAAGCCTGAAACATTTAAGACATCCCTCAACATCTGATTGTCTAATGTAGAAGCATTCCCTATATGTGTTATTTTACATCTATTACCTACTGACAATTGCACTCCACTAGTATTCTGATGACTAGAGTTCTTTATATCATGAAAGACTTCCATATAAAAGGTAATATAATGTGAAGCACATGAGTATAGTATCCAATCACACTAAAATGCATTGGATATTAATGTAGTTATACCTGCCATAAGTGAATGATAATCACCTGAATCAAACTTGTTTACAGGACTTAACAATTATTTGTGTTAGTTCTCAATGAAGAAATTCCTTTATGGTTGATTCCCCTGTGTTTGACTATCAGAAGAACTCCCACTTCAACAGGAAAACATTTCCATAAGACTTGGTACCAACACCCTGAGACTTTTTCTGATCTTGAAGTCAGGTAAATAACCTATGATTTTATAACAATTCTCCTTCAAGTTACCTTTATACCCACAGTATTCATAAATTATTGTAACAATCCGGTTGATTTTTTTTTAGTATTAGAGCCTAATTCCCCCATTTGATTCTCCCTATAGTTTCTTTTGATGTTTTGTGACTTGAGGGGATAGTTGGTTTGGTTCTAGGATGGTTTGTGATTCAATTGGAATATTTAGTTCGAACCTTAAGGTAAAAAGAGTTGACCAAGATTTGACTTTTGAGTAAATAACTTCATAATCAAGATTTGAAGGTTCTTATATGTTCATATAATGATTTTGGACGTTGGCATATTTGTTATTTGGTTTTGGATGTTCCTAGAGAATTTTGATTCTATTTGTCGAAAGTTGGCAATTTGAAGAATTTGAGATTTTATAAGTTTGATCGATAGGTTATTTTGCGGTTAATGAACTTTCATTGAGATATTGAGACCTTGGATAGGTTCAAATGGTTAAAATGATCTTATGTTCAAAGTTTGATTGTGATCTGAAATATCTAAGTATGATTCGAACAGGTTCAGCAACATCGGAAAGTTTGAAAGTTAAGGAATGGATTTGACCTTCGATTCTTACTTTTAATGTTGTTTGTGATGTTTTGAGTCTTTGGATAAGATTGAATGAGGTATAATGACTTTTTGGTATAATTAGACGAAGGCCCAGGCGGCTCAGGTGAGTTTTGGGGTAGTTTCAGTCTATTTTAGAGTGATTTGGATTTCTGGTGTCTAGTGTGTCGAACCTGCGGTTTCTTCAGTGCAAGTGCAATGTCACACCAGAAGATGGGGAGTCGCACCTAGGAAGGCAGACCTGGTGATGGAAGCACACTGATACAGAGGATCTAGCACATCTGCAATGTCATGTATACGTTGGTGGTGATCGTACCTATGAGTCCGCATATGTGTAAGGTGCATCACAGAAGCGAAGTCAAGCTGGAGCTAGGGGCTTGCAGAAGCGAGGTTTTGATTGTAGAAGCAGTGTTGCTTCTGCGACAAGTGACCTTAGATACGAAAATTCCTGACATGATGTATTATGTCGAGTTTTATCTCATTTTCACCATTTTTGAGTATTGGAGATCGGTCAGAGGTGATCTTTGAAGAGATTTTCACTACAATCTTAAGGGTATGTAATTTTTGTTTTATTTTGATCATATATCTTGTGTCACGACCCAAAACTTATAATAGGTCGTGATGGCACGTAACGCCATTGTTAGGCAAGCCCAAACGTGAACCTCCAAATTAATTATTCCTTTTTAACTTTTAAAAATAAAAATTTCCTTAAATACACCCAAGAAAAGTAAAATCTTATACAACTGTACATACTTCTTTCTTGAAAATATCAAGTGTGAATAATACATAAGCCATGGTGATAGTAATAATAAGTACAATAGTGCATAAACGCTAGAAGCCCCAAAACCTGGTGCCACAAGTGCCTGAGCAATTTAGAGAACATACAAACTAATACAACTATTGTCCAAAGAAAAATAGACAGAAATAGTAAACAAGGTAGAGGGAGACTGGTGCCGCAGATCGAAGTAAGGCAAGCAACTCACCACTAAGTCTCTGTGGAAGTGCGTCTACGCAGTCGATTGAAACTGGCAGTGGTTGAAGGTTACTGGTTAACACAGTCGACTGAAACTCGAAGAAGAAGAAGAAGAAGAAGAAGAAGAAGACATATTTCCAGAATTTGTAGATATTTTGTAGTCAAATTGTAGTCAAATTCGAAAAATTGTAGATAAATTGTAGATTGTTTTTTNAGATGAAGATGAAGATGAAGAACAGAAATCTCCTTTCCGTTTGATTACTGGAGCTTCAGTAGCTTGCGTTTTTTGAGAATTGTAGTTGAGTGAGAGAAGAGAGATCTCTTTCCGTTGAGGAAGGAGAGAATTACGCAGCAATTCGAATTTAATGTTGACAGAATCACACGCAGATCTGGTGCCTTTATTTTAGCGCGTTTTTTATGGCAAAATCTACCTATTTTTGGATTGGTATATAATTTGTAGTAAAAGTGTGGACTACACGGGTAAATAACAAATTATGAACATTTTTGGTAATAAGGTTTGATATATGGTATAGATAGGTAAAAATCCCTTAATTGTATGTTTGGGGGTGGGGAAGTTGGGCCGAATTTGGGTGTTTGAAGATGGCCCAATTTCCATTCTTTTCCATGTCTTTCTTTTAATTCTAATTTTCCTCTTCTTCTTTGTTTTTTTTAATTTAAAATCCTAATAATTAAAAATCCTAAATTATCTAAAAATGTGAAATTGAAGCAATTAACTAATTATAAAAATTATAAACATCACTTAAATCTAAATTAAAATAGAAAAATCAATAAACTAAAATTAAAAGACAAAAAATATAAAAATGAGCTATCTTTGTGATTTTCAAATTTTTATATAAGCAAATAATTATTGATTAATTTTAAAAATGTAAAAAAAAATCCTAGATGCAATGCATGATATTTTGGTATTTTTCATGATTTAAATAAAAATTAAACATACACAGAAATGCAAACAATTAATAAAAATCTACAAAAATTCCTAAAAATGGCAAATAATTAAGAAAAAATCTATCTTCTTGGATTTTATAGGAGTATTTCATATAGGGCAAAAATCACATGCTCACAATGCGTACAAGTCCAAAACATCATACAAACCTACTAAAATTGCCCAAACACCGATCCGAAATCGTTTACTAAAAACATTGACCGTGGTCAACTTTTGTTGTTTTTAAAGCCAAAAAAATACTTTTTTCTTCAAAATTCACTTAAAAGCTTTCTGAAAAACGACGCGGAGCGTGCACACAAGTCATATAACATCAAATGAAGCTTTGAGAGATCTTGGAAAACAGAAATAATGGCTAGTACTCAAAATCGGGTCGTCACACTTTTCTAGAAACATGTGTAGAAATTGTCTTACTCTTTTATTTGTCACTCAAATTTTTATATTTAGTCTATTCCATAATTTCCTTTAATTAAATGACAATAGCTAAGAAATAAATCAAGCTTGAATATAACCAGATAATCATTGAACTGATGAAGTCAACAACACACCATCACGCAAGAATTCTTAAACCTATTAAAGCAAACACAAATAGTTGCCCAAATCTGCAGCAACAAGAGCACATCGAGAGAAAGAAAAACGAATAAATAGATAAACAAGCAAATGAGTTTAACGTTGGTTGTATTTGGATTCTGTATCAGGTTTGGTTCTAAAATTGAATTTAGAAACAATTGTGGATGTAAATACACGGTTGCTTTTTATGTACTTTTAGGAGAATCTATTTCAAAGTTAATTTTGTTAAGACAGTATATTATTTATTACTTTCTGGTTGAGTTTATGGAAATATTCCACCTTTTTATCTGACCATACATTTCTTGGTAGAGTTTCTGGATAAAATATTTGAAACAAAAAGAAAATGCCTTACAGTTTAGCGCATATTGTCTGAATTTAAGGTATAATATTCCCTATCTAGCTACTTAATATGGGTCCGGAACCTAAATATTGTATTTTTGGACTCAAAATACATAAATAGATTAAAACTTAGTGACCAGAATATATAAAACGTATTTTAACTTAACGTCATATAAAAACGTGTCTAAATTTAGCTTTCGGCTTCTACCCTTTCCCTTTCAATCTCTGCGACACCTCAGCGGACGAGTGGGGCGCAATGTCTCTGTGATTTTAATTTTTAATTATTTTTAAAGCATTTGTACTTTTTACAATTTAAATCTTATGCATTTTATACTTACACAATCAAATCATATAATAAAAGATAATTGCATGTAATTTTGTATTGTCACTCGCTTTTACTTATTATATTATTGTTGTTATTGTTTGTTGCTTTATTTTACCGTTTCTTAAGCTGAGGGTCTATCGGAAACAACCTCTCGGCCTTTATAGGGTAAGGGTAAAGCTGCGTGCATACTACCCTCCCCACCCCACGTATGGAATTAAGCTGGGTGTGTTATTGTTGTTGTTGCATGTAACTTTATATAATAAGCATGGTTTTAAGTTAAAAGAATTTACAGTGAGTTTAATTGGTTATAATAAGTTTTTGTTCTATTTTCTAAATTAATAGTTCAACTTGATTGTCTAAAAAATCTCTTATATAAACTCAATAAGCAATAATGGGTAACTTAGGATATATGATAAACAACCTTTGTTAAATTACAATGATAGTATAAAGATTTTATATAACTTAAATCTAAATCAAAACAGAAAGTTCAAGTGAAAAGGAGACTTTAGAAAACGTGGTTTCAAACCATGTTTTTATAAAACGCAGTTTTGAAACATGTTTTATATTAACGTCCCAAACGGACGCAGTTTTGAAACCTATTTATGTATTTTGAGTTCAAAAATATAATATTTAGGTTGTGGACTCTACTTAATATGGGATAATATTTTAACCATAGTCAAATTTATGGTTAAAAACTGGACGCGAAATTATTGAACAGGGAGATATCGTGTCATGATACCTAAAATATGTAAGAGGCCCTTTTAGCTAGCTTAACAATAGAGAAAATTGTAGTCCTTTGGCGTGCCGATAGAGCAAACTAAGTCAAAAAAAAAAAAAAAAAAAAAAAACAACAA